TTTTTTGAAAATTGTAAAAATGTACGAAAAAATATAAAATATCTTTTAAAAATATACAAAAAAAATTGTCTTACATCTTCTAGAAACTCACCATCACCGTGTTGGCACTCATTGGTTACGTCGCCGCTGACGTCTCACACTTATCCGGCTCATACTTGCCACCCGTACAGCCACAGCCTGAGTATCTACCACCTGCTCAAGAGTACTTGCCGCCTTCGCAACCGCAACCACAATACTTACCACCCGCAGCGCCGGAGCCACAATATCTGCTTCCTCAACCACAATACCTGCCACCTGTGGCACCACAACCACAGTACTTGCCGCCTGCTGAACCTCAACCGCAATATTTGCCGCCTGTACCGCAATACCTTCCACCTGCCGCTCCAGCACCTGAGTATTTGCCACCTGTTGACACACCTGTCGCTGAGGATGGTTACCGCTACAGAACCGTGAAGAAGTACCGTTTGAGAAGCCACTAAATTTGAGTGTTGTTGCATAGCAATGAAGGAGGCGTTGTTAAGGATTTTGTTACAGGGATTCATTATCGTTTCTAATTCCCGCATAGCATACATACATGCTATTTTTGTTAATAACTTTCTGAACTCTGACTAATTTATACATTAAAGTCATTTGAAAAAAGAAAAAATATTTTGATTCAAATACTCTTATGGCCACACATTTGTATATAAAGAGCTTAGAAACACTGAAGGCATTGCGAATTTCTCGGAATTAATTGTATTTCGCATATTCACTTCACATTTCCCTCTGCATACTTTTAAGCTGAAATGTTAAGCCGTCTTATGTATATATGTATAAGCCTCGGCATTAACTCCCACCTATGTACTCACATACGGTATATATATAGTTAAGGTATACATACTCTATTTTATAATCACTGATTCGAATCGGATTTTACTTATTTTAACTCTGCAGCGTAGTATACATTTATGCGCAAAGAAAAGCTTCGTCCAACCATCGCCCTTAAAAGGCTAAGACCAGCTGGTAGCATAAATAACGCATGTCACAAAATATTAGCCATTATCCGGAAGCAACTATTCAAATGCTCGTAAGAAGCAAGCAAAAAGCAAAGCAATGAGCAGAGAGAGGATAAGCGGCAGAAAAAGAAGAAGTAGCAGGAGAGAAATATTCGTACTTCAAACAAAAAAGAGTAACGCCTTATAAATAAAGAAATCTTATAAATCGCACATATGTCCATATACCACACATATGTATGTAGATGTGTCGGAGGAATATCTGAATATGCAAAATAAGGAATACTTTTTTGGTAATGTCTCTATTGGCAACTGAAAGACCATAGATAATCCTAGCAATGCGATTGCTAAGAAACGGTTTTACAAGTATGTAAATACGTCTATGAATTGATATTCCTGTTGGTTTATTGATTACAAGCACTCGTTCCACAAGTAGCTCGAACATATTTGCGAGTAAGGTGGTGAAGTATTCGGCCGAGTTTTACATACCTTAATTTGGTTTCTCTGCTGACACATTTTTACTAAAAAATAACAAATATGACAGTCTCACTTTTAGGAAATGATTTTTATTTATTTAAAAAACTTTTGGGAGAAAATCTACTATTTAAGAACTAAATATAAGGCTTGTGCCACTATTCAATTTGAAATCATCAGGTAGCGGACTCAAAAGTATCAAACATATTTATTTCTATGAGAATTAGACCTAAAATAATATCTGTCCAATCGAGATTTCAGTTAATAATAACTTCAAAAATATATCGGAGTCCTACACTCCTTGACTTTAAACACATTTGGTAGGATGGTCTCTGCATCTGGCACAAGGCTTAATCATTTTATCCAGGTTAGCTAAAGTTGAGTTCAACCTTTCTTGCTAAAAACAATTTTAAAACAAACCTTCTCTTTAAAATGACTCAACCTTAGACAAGGGTATAAATATGGTTAGTCCAAGTTTCGATAAATGTTTCCTGATAAAAACCATTCTAAAACCGATAGCATTCCTCTGTTTTTGAAATCTATAGCTGAAAATGTAAATATGTAAGAATTTATTGTTCGTACTCGGTCTGGATGTCATACGATGGTCAGTGGTTTGGTATAGTTTGGTATTTCATTGAACAAGAATGCGCTAACAATAACATACACGAAACGCATAATATCCAAGTCGGGAAAGTAAACAAACAAAATGGTAACCCAATATCAAATTATAATATATCAAAAATTTTTTATTAATTAATAGTTATAATTCAGTGGGGGATACCTCTGACAGTTTCGAACGTAAAATATTTTTGGACAGTGCGGCCTTCATCGACGTTTCTTTTTTTCGCTACGTGAYGCCAATTGGATATTCCAAGCGTATCCAGGTCCTTCTCCACCTGGTCCTTCCAAAGGAGTGGAGGTTTTCCTTTTCCTCTGCTTCCCCCGGCGGGTGCAGCGTCGAATACTTTCAGAGCTGGAGTGTTTTCGTCCATTCGGACAACATGATCTAGCCAGCGTAGCCGCTGTCTTTTAATTCGCTGAACTATGTCAATGTCGTCGTATATCTCGTACAGCTCATCGTTCCATCGAATGCGATATTTGCCGTGACCAACGCGCAAAGGACCATAAATCCTTCACAGAACTTTTCTCTCGAAAACTCGCAACGTCGACTCATCCGTTGTTGACATCGTCCAAGCCTCTGCTCCATATAGCAGGACGGGAATTTTGAGTGACTTATAGAGTTTGGTTTTTGTTCATCGAGAGCGGACTTTACTTCTCAATTGCCTACTCAGTCCGAAGTAGCACCAGAGTTATCCTTTGGATTTCCAGGCTGACATTGTTGATGGTTTTTACACTGGTTCCCAAATATACGAAACTATCTACAACTTCAAAGTTATTATTATATATTATTAGATAAAGTATAACAATTAGATATTACGTCGCTCTGAAGGTTCGAAAAAGCGTTGACGTTCCGTATGACGAGTATTACACTTCAAAATAAACTGAGTCTCCATTTGGCAACACTAAGGAACAGTAGGTCTATGTATAGTGGAACAGCCGGCTAGTATAACCTAAGCTAATCTACTTTATGGCGGAAATAGGTACTTTCCATAAAAAAAACTAAAAAACTTTCTCTATATTTGTCTGGTAACAAGTCGAGGTACCGAGGTAGGTTACTATTGGACGACCTTTGCTTACGAGAACTTGTCGAGTGCTGATCAACCATTAGTACTTACGTTAGCATAAAGGTAAATCGAAAGAGATCCAGCTCCTTGGCCGTATCGAAATTCTCTAACCGTAGGAGTAGTAACCGGCCTTTATCAAGTTGATGTCGGGCAGTTGAGGCTAAAAACTTTCTGCATGTCAATGGTCGAAGTTGGTTAGAAGAATACGAGGTAATACAGTTTACTATATATACCTTATACATTAAAATAAACTAAGAATTGGTATATGCAGGTAACTAGTTACACAACTCCATATTTTTAACTGCTCTGAAACTGATATAACCATAGTATGTTACTAACCAAAACCTTGCGATTGTAACCCCTAAGAGCCCCTAAGAGAGAAAAGTAAAAATTTACCAGCGCAGAGCAGAGTCAGTTAACTAGTTGTTACTAGTTACGGTGTGGTTTATAACCGGTTAATTTCACCCCAAGCTTTTATCTACAAATATACCAGAACAAAGTTGGCGATAAGAGCATTTCAAGCAAATGAACAACGAATATGCGAGTCAACTCAAGCATATTTCATTATTTATGTGCATTGAATGGAGCTGCTTGTAGCATTGACAATATACTACTATCGCCAACGAAATGTTAACGAGAGCGCCGCCACACGAGCGAATGCACGGCTGCGAGGCGGAAGTATAGTGACCAATGATTAAGAGAGCAGAGGAGGGGAAATGGCTATCATTTGGACACAAAAGACATATGACCACACAATGGATAGAAAGAAAAAGGGAGAAAAAACAACGCCATGCTTAACTGTAGAAAATACACAGACGCATGTAAAACAACAACGAAGCCTTGCATGCATTTGTGATTGTGGTGGCAAGGGGGGTTACATGTGGACATGTAATTTGTGTAAAGCATGGAAACCTCTCAAGAAATTATATATGCTTGCGAGTGTGTATGTTTGTTATCCAATAAAAAAAGTGAAAATGCAGGACTTAAAAGGATTATGCCCTTGCTGCCTGACAATACAAAAGCGCCCATATTTCACTAGACGTATGTGAATAACGGTAAGGCATATGGGGCAAGCACATACATAGACGCCATGTAGGTAATGATGTGAAAATCAATTTGCATAGCCACAAATGGCTTGACAACCAGAATAAGCGTTAAGGAAATTCTATTTATTGTCGGCATATTTATTTACAGTATTTATTAAGGAGGGCTTTCTAAGGCGTTACACTTCTAATGTACGGTATATACGCAAGCAAAATGATTAATATCCTTGTTCAAAGATAATTGCCTATTATTATGTAAATCAAAATGCAGTAAAATTGTCGCTGGCGCTAGAAAACCTTGGGTCATTGTAATAAGTGGCTTTTATTATTAGGGTTATGTATTGGATTGACTTCGGTGTAAAAAATATATGAAAATTATTGATGTTATACAAGTAAAATAATATCAATTTTTTACCGCTAAAGCTCCCCGTAAGTGCTAAGTAGAAGTGAGCGTCTGTAATGACACCGTCTGTCACTGCTTTTGTTTAACTTCATATTTGACATAGTAATGCAAACGTAAGGAATATCGATCAAAGGAAGATATAACAAACCGTATTAAGAAGGACAAGCATGGAAGATATGGAATCCAAAAGCAGCAAGTTTTCCCAAATCGATAGCTTCGCAATATTTTCGTCATTTTGTAGGCATTGTCGTTCCTAATACAGATTTTTTTTCATGCAGAAGCCAGAAATGCTTGATTGCTTGAAAATTTTCAGAGGAAAATATGATATGCTCAGGCATGTTTTGAGACGAGACTTAAAAGCAATAACCCAAAATGCTAGCGATTGGTATCCACAAGGCGGCCGGTGTAGAGAGAATTTGGATATCAAAATATCTTAGGTCTTATAAAATTGGTGCCAAATCAAGTGATTAACACATGAGCAAAATAAATGGAAGAGTCCCATTGCTTCTTCTTTATTGGCGTAGACAACGCTCACTTAGTTGTAGCTGAGTTTACAGGAGCGTGCCAGACGTTCTTTCTTTTCGCTGTTTGGTGCCAATTGTAGATTCCAAGTGCAGCCATGTTCTTCTCCACCTCATCTCTCCAACAGTGTGGTAGTCCTGCTTCCTCAGGCCAAATGCCCGTTGTTGTTGGTGTTAATTTGGTTCCAAAATAGAAGAAATTATATACGGTTTCGAAGTTATGAAAGTCCACCTTGACGAGGAAGCTAAAACACGTGTGCGACAACTATTTGTTTGATTACGTGAGATCATCAAAAAAGGGGTCTCTCTTCCGAGGCTTTTTGTTCTTTTTCATTGGTTGCGTTTTTACGTGGCGGGTCCCAAACATAGCACGCAACCATGAGGAGGGATGTTGCGCTATCTCACTTTAGCTCGCCAACAAACGGATGTTTTCGGCTATCCAAAGGATACGTGGTCTAAGGCCGGAAGTGGCGAGCTATTTGACTCA